TCGGTGGTTCAAAATGTTCTCAGAGGGTCGAGAAGATGTGAACGACGAAGAGCGTGCCGGACGCCCGAGCACGTCAAACAACAGACGAAAAACATTGATGAAGTGAAGAAAAATAGTATTGGCCAATCGTCGAATCACCGTTAGAGAAGTTGCTGAGGACCTAAACATATCGATTGGCTTCGTGCCATTCGATTTTTACCAATGATTTGGGCATGAGACGGGTCGCCGCGAAATTCGTACCAATCACACATCGTTGCTTGTGCGCGAATTTTTGGCCAAAAACAACACACTAATGATGCCGCAGCCACCGTATTCCCCAGATCTGGCCCCCTGTGACTTTTTCTTGTTCCCGAAACTGAAGAGGACCATGAAAGGACGACGCTACGCTACGATTGAGGAGATAAAGACGGCATCGAAAGAGGAGCTGAACAAGATCACAAAAATGATTTTTTGAAGTGCTTCGAGAATTGGAAAAAACATTGGCACAAGTGTATAATATCGGATGGGGATTACTTTGAAGGGGACAAAATAGATATTCATGAATAAATAAATAATTTAAAAAAAAATACAAAATTCGCGATACTTTTTGAACAGACTTCGTATATCTCGATACCATTTGGCACATACCATTCTCTTTGAAATGATGCAACTATCCTTTAATCGTATCGCTTTTAATACGTCTTACTCTAAAAATCTGAAAATCTCTAAAGGGTACCGATCTACGTACCAGAATCGTCATCCATGCTACAGCATTTCGTGGAGTGGTTAACCGGCAGGAAACCAGAATTAATTGATCCCACCATATTGGCATCCGGCAACGGCAGAGAACGTAAGGATCAAGACATTTGTGTTTCTTGTTAGTGTGTCTATTAATTAGCGTTAAGTTGATTACATGTACGAGACTGAAACTGAAATGGAGTATAATCAACGATGTTATATCATGGACATAGGAATCTAAGGGAAGAGCATAAAGTTGCGGGGGGGAAGCCACTGCGGAACGGTGCGACAAGATAAACTGTGCCTATAAATTTGATTGGCTGTTAGTTTGCACAAGCGCAATGATATAAGTTCTCGTGTCCGTGTGATACAACACATATATGTATAATAGACCGAGTGTTCCTAGTAAAAAATAATATTAAAAGCATTGGAATTTCCTATGCTTTTGCTGTGGAGGGGGTAAATTAGGCACAGTCTCCTCCCAATCACCCCCCGCATTTCGGTTTTACTTCCCTTACGTAAGTTACGACTTTATGCTCTGTCCCTATATTCCTATGTCCATGTGTTATATACATATTGTTATGCTCGCGTTCGTGTTAAGTCACTCGTGGGAATTTCAGCTACTGTCCAACATCAGAGATGGTCGCTGACATTTTAACGAAACCACTTGAAGCTATTATAAAATATGTCAGCACTTTTAAACTCGGTTTAATTGGGTTTGAGTAATGCATAATCATATAACCTTAGAGAGAGAGGATGTTGAAAAATTATTTTTCTTATTCAATGTCATATGATAATTATTTTTCTTAAAAAAGAATATAGTAATCGAGAGTTAAATTTTACTAGTGCCATTTTTTGTGCACACTTAGATTCTTTAGATTTGCTTTACTATCGTCACCGTTACAGTTACTTTCGAGATAACTCAGAGTCTTTTATATGTTATTAAAACTTTGTATCTATTTGATATAAACTGTACAACTCAACTTCCACTGTGTCGTATAAATTAACGCTTTGCCTAACAGTAACATAAACTACAGCTTTTTAGTAAAATTTTTCTCGAAAGCAACGTTTTGGAATGGGTAACTTTAGTGACGTAAAGATCGATTAAGTTAACTTTTTGGCACATTGCAAGATTTTCTGTATTTCAAAAAAAATTGCGTGATATTATAATAGTCTTAATAGCAACTTTCAAAGTTTATTAATTTTCGAAATTTTTTTTACACGAGACATTCTTTCGCTACTTTTTTCTTCAAGTTATATATGTATATTTTGCAACATTGCAGTCACACGCATGAGGGTTGAAGGAGTTGTTACCGTAACGTTCAACATCATCTTGAAGGATTTGTTCAAGCTGGGTTACGACAACGGTGAAAAATGGAAAAAATGATAACACGTTAATTGTCTCAATCTGAAGAGGATTATTGAGATTTTATCAAGGAAATACGATATATAATAATCCTATTTTATAAATAATATTTTAACGAATAAACAATTGTGAATTTTCCGTATAATCCATTGTCACATTTTTTCCTTCTCTGATATCTAACGATAGGAACGAAGAAGCAAGAAGGGTAACACTTTAGTGCCAAAATTTGTCCATGAGGGAAACGTTTAAAATCAGTTTTTTTTTATACAAGGGCAATAGGTGAAAAGTTCTCGGCAGCTGACATAGAAATGGCA